GGGGGGGGGGGGGGGGGCTGCGGCTCGTCGAGTGACATTGAATAACGCACCTGCGAGCGAGGCGGGGCTCACGCACTCCACTCCGGGGCTGAGAGCACTCCACGATGACATAACGGGTCGCTAATGAAGACTTGACTCGCATTCATTGCCGTTCCTTGACATTGAGCCCTCCTGCCTGGTCGGCGATAAAAATCGGCGTTTTCGTCGTTTCGGGGCGATTATAGACTCCCGGGGCGAGAAATTTCAAAGTTTGTCAGGATTCCTCTAACTCATTTGCCAAAAAAAAAATAAGTAGTCGAAAGTATATTAACGTACGAATGTGAAGTTTGACAGCTGAAGAAACGGACACAGGATATGCTAAGAGCAACGGAGATGGATTTCTGGAGGAGGTCAGCAGGAATCTCTAAGAGAGATCGGGTCCGTAATGATAGAGTGCGTCAGATAATGGAAGTCGAATATGACATCGTGTTCGACGTCATGACCAAGCAGCTTGCCTGGTGCGGTCATGTCAATAGGATGACGGAAGAAAGGCTGCCAAAAAAGATGCTTGATTGGGTTCCTCCTGGGAGGAAACGAAGGGGACGCCCAGTGAAAGGTGGTGACAGGGGGTTATGAATGAGATGAGGGAGTGCCAACTCCCTGATGACCTGTGGGAGGATCGAGTTTTGTGGCGGTTAGGCGTCGCAGAGCGCCGGAGAGCGCTGTGAGAGCGACTCTTATGTATACATTTGCAAAAAAAAAAACTTCCCGAATTTTTCGATCGACGAACGATCCAAATGCACTCAAAAATCAGTGCTCCCATTCCATGCATGACCGTCAAGGGACTCGGAACTTTTTTGTTTTAATTTCTCCCATTCCATGACCGTCACCAGTTCCGGGATTCTTTCGAGGTTGTTTCAAAAGCTCCGAGGAAGTTCCGAAAAGTGCAAAAGATCCGGAGCCTTTCGGAAATTTCAAAAGTTCCGGGATAAATTTAGGGAAATCTCAAAAGTTCCGAAATTTGGAACTAGTTCTGGGAAATGGGAACACTGCAAACAAGAAATCGATACGTTTTCGAGACGAAAAAACCCAAAATTACATGCGTTCAAAAAACGCCGACCAGCAGGTTGGATTAGTGGCATTAGTGGGAATACTTCTTGCTGCTCGGAAGGAAAAATCTCAATTATACCTAAGCCTTTATTATATCATTTTCTTGAAATTTTCCCATATTTCCTTGGCAAGGAAGCCAGAATTTCGAAATTGAAGGATTTTTTCGAGCTGGCAACTGTGAGTCGAAATCTCTGGAGGGGTGGCGTTGCGGTGGGAATGTCTCACTCGAAACCTGCGTTCCATTCAGGTGAAAGCGAAATGGGCTTTCGGGGGCGTTGTTGAGTTTTGTAATCTATAAGGACCCACCAGACCAGAGGACGCGTTGTTTGACAGGAGTTTGTTGACTGAGTAATATCAGAGACTGCTTACATTAATGACTGTTGAACCTCAAAAATTTTCGAAGTAAGCAGAAATGGTACCCTAACATGAAGCGTCATTGTTCGCGGAAGTGTGACATTTTACCAGATTTTTAAATTTGTCGCTGACATCATTAAGAGATCTTCTTGCATTGGAGGTTCCAACACTCCACTCAAGGAGAAAGAACAAACCGGCGGCGATGAGAAAACGCCCGCATTAACGTTCAAAGTTTACCCTGAAATATTTATTTTTGAAGAAAAAAAATTAAGATTTATTCTGGAAATCTTCAATTATTCTGGAAAAAGTTGCAAGGAATGTTCTCAATTTTTTTTTGAAAAAGATGACCTTAGAATTTCGTAGAAATCGAGTTAATTGGAAACACTCTGGCAAAGGAACAGGTATACATACAATTTTCCTTGGAAAGACAGAATATATTGACAAGTTCGGAATATGTAGTCACTCCAATATAATACATTTTTTCTCACATTAACAAATCAAGGAAGAAATGGTTAAAAACATGTAATTTATACGTGTCGTCGTGTCGCAGGCAATTAGCAATCGCCGGCAATTTGCAAGCGGTTCACATGTTGTTTCAATATGTCACAATAATGCACATCGGCATAATGCAATTTTTAAGGTCCATGGTCTTCAAAAGTAGGAGCTCGGCTTGAAACGCCTTCATTTTTCGTGATACTCTACGCTTTGTCATGATGTTAGTTTAGTTGCCTGTCCGATCTTAACCCCACTAATGTCACGGAGTTCACTGCACGCTCTCCTGAGTGTGCATATTTCTGCAATGTTTTTAAGGATGGAAAAGTGTCTATTCACATCATAGGCAACATAATCAGCACTCTAATCTTGTTCTTTTATTTTTGAATTTTATGATTTTCTATATTTGTTCACCACTGGTTTGCAAATCTCCGGCGATTGCTAATTGCCTGCGACATACGTATACGTTAATGTGAATAATGGGAATACAGTGTATCCCAAACGCCGTGCATTTTCGGAAGGTAATTTACCTGGCATTTTGTGGACCAACAGATTTGAGCTCGTAAGATGAACTGGCCGTGATCGCGTTGTCAGGGATACTCCCCTCCTCCATCCCCAGGGCAGTGCTGCATTCGCCCCACTCTGAAACAAAAATTCATCGGATTTTAATGATATTCTTCACTACAAAATTGCTGACGTTTGCTTGTAGTCTGGGTGTTGTGCGTGAATGGGTTATACAAGTTAAAGCTAAAAATGAAAATTAGACGTTAGTCAATTTATGAGTTATTATATTTGTAAAAAGAAGATAATTAACACTTTGTAAAAGGTGGTTGTATAATATTTTCAAAAAAAAAAAAAACCAAGTGAACTACGGATTGACCGATCGCTCAAAGGAAACACATTTTACATGTCTCATGAGACTATTGTATCACGGTAGGTCGTCAAAACTAATACTATCCCCCACACTTATACTAGTTACAGCTGCTTCTACAAACTTTTTCGTGTAACAATTCCAAGACTGAACTTTGCGCAGATGAGATGCACAGAAAATTGAACACCGTATCTTCTTGCCAATAATTTTTTTTTAATCTCAAAAAATTAAAATACCTCAATTGAGACGTTTGGTCACAAAAATCATGCACACGATTGCAGTACAAGAACCACAAATTATAAATAGTGCCGTACTACATTTCGCAATTTTTTTCGCCTCAAAAATCATTCAGTTCCACCTTTTATGTCGTTCCTCTGAACCTGCTTTCATTAATCAGGTAGTACCTCAACTTAGGGCGATTTTTGAAAGTTGACAACTTTAGATTTAGCCCATTTAAGGGTGTGTAAAATAATATGTGCACATTGATTTCTAGCTGCGCTGCCTTAATGTTCACAATACAGCCGTTTTCAATTAATTTTGTCAATTTCCGAGAGCTCCTATCGGCTAGGAAGGTTTTAAGTTTATATTGGGACTGCAAATCGTTTTTCCTATGGTTGAAGTTCGTATCTCGATTTCTACATGAGCCCCAGAAAGCATTAAGGTATACGGAGAACAGAGCTCAAGTAGAAATTGATATACGCTCTTACGTTAGGGGAGCGACAAAATATAGCATTTAATTAGTACGACCGGTCGACAGACCTACATTCGAGCGCGTTGCAAAATGCAAAGAAAAACCTTGCCTATTCTGCCGTGCTAAGGAAAAACGCCGTATGAACATTCGAGAGTTGCCAAATTTCCTTCGATACAACGTTCATTTTTTAGGAAAGTTATAGATGTGTTTCTTTGAAATTTTGAGGCTCTTTCGGTGAAATAGCGACCAAAATTACGTGAAAAATTGGAAGGAAAATATTCATAAGTTTACCCGGAAATTCGTATTTTATTGAGGGAAATTTGGCAACACCTGAAGGTTCATACGGTGTTTTCCCTTAGCACGGCAGTATCCCTTACAACTGCATGTGAGAACCTTGAAAATTTCCTACGAGCCGACAACAGAGCACGAGGGCTCAAAGGTCAAGCAGCCTGCTCGCTCCAGGTCGCTCGCGAGACTCAAACCGTAAGAAACACAGCGGCTCCGCGATATATTTTATATTTAATAACCCCGCAGACAAACCACACAAAGAAACCGAGCAAACACAATCAGAGACGGCGGCGGGGTCGAGGAGGCATGTTCCCACACGACAGCGCCTGCAACCGAGGAGACGCAACCCGCGCTACGCCCCCCCCCCCGCACGACCGAAATGTAATCGAGTTGCCGGCTCCTACCCCCGGGCCACTCCGTGCGGTCCTCCGCGAGACTCCGGTAATAAGTGAGAGCCACGGGGATGCATGGGAGAGCGCGAACCGTGGCTCGTGTGGCGATGGACTTACTGCTGTTTTCCACAGCATGACGTGGCGTTACGTTTACGTCAGACAGCGCCCGGTGAGGCGGATTGCTCAGGTTCTGGGACAGAGCAGGAATTTCCTCGGGAAAGTTAACGGCCGTGGGTGGATTGAGGTTTGTTCTGCTGTGTTGAGGAAAAACGGCGGACAACCTCATTTTGGCGTGGCCAAATTAGTCCGAATAAGATGAAAATTTGTCAAAATTTCCTGAACTTCCATATTTTCTTCCTTTATGCATTTGTAAAAAGTTGAGGAAAATGTTCCCCCGAGAAAAAATGTTTCTCTTCACGGAGGTCATAAATTCAACTTTTATAAAATGTTTGGGTATTTTCCTTACAATTTTTCGATACACTCAAGTAAATTGCGAATTTCTCTCTTTGACATTTTTCAAGGATTTCATTCACAATATAATGGAAACCGTCGGAAAATTGTCAAGTTTTAGGAAAGTATTCGTGAATTTTCTCGAAGAGAAATGTGACTGAATGTTTGAAGGTCTCGTTTCAGTTTTCGGGAAAAAATTTTCTATGACTTTTTGAGAACGCAAGGAGGAAAAAAAATCTTAAAATTTTGGCGCAAGTATGACCCTAAAATTCTCAAAAATAAGGAAGATAACAAGAGCCCCAAAGTTCACTGGCACAAATTCTTAAATTGTAGAAAACATGTTATAAGTTTTTGCAAATAGTTACGGAAAATTTTCTCTAAAAAAATAAGGTCCCTTCCCAGAGATTCAGTCATATTTTATCAGGATTAATTTGGCAACATTCGAGAGCTCATAAGGCGTTTTACTTAGCTTTGCGGTGCTCTCAGGCGAGAGTTGAAAATTATTTCTGAGGGAGGAGCTGTCAGACTTGAGTTGAGACTCCTTTGGGTCAACATTGAGAGATACGGGAAAATTTCATTTTAACCATGGTCCGAAGAGGATCTCTGTATGTTTGACAGTATGAAAAGCTCCCACCACATAATTCCTATAAATGCCTTCATCATATCACTGTAAATGATGCTTTTTCCTCCCCACTGAGATGAGAAATCTTGTCTCCGGCTATGAAGACAAAGAAGGATTTTTGGAGTCAGTTGTAAAGCCACCGTAGAAGACCCGTTAAGTGCACTAAATATAGAGATTGAATTTCAATATTAAGTTGGTAGTGCCTACTAAGTCCGAGACTAAAATCTTCTACCAACCCTTAAAATAAAAATGGTCTTCAAACAGCGTGACCGTTCTAAATAGCTCCTCTTCTGCTCTTTTATAAGCGCCTAACAAATAACCTGCAGTATACGATACAACTATTTTAACCTCTGGGTAGGTTAAATTGCATAGCCACTCAATTGAAGGAGCACTCGGAACCTTCCTCGGATTTCGGATTTGCTTCAACTGAAGAAATATTCGTGTAACGCGGATACGCTCTTAAAAAATAAAAATAAAAATAAAAAGGAAGGAAGAAGAGGAAGAAAAATAAGGAGAAAATGAGGATAAAGAAGACGAAGAAGAAGAATAAGTAAAGCATGAAAAAGTGTAAGAATTTCTTTACGTTCGTCATTTCCTACCTCTCTATTCCTCTATTCCTCATTATTCCCTTTTTTCATCCTGTCCTTCTCCTTTATATTCATTGTTATTACTTCCTCCTCTCTTTCTTCTTCGTCCGCAGATTTGGAAGAGGAAGACACGGGACAGGTAGACCCCGGCCTGATAAATCAAAGTTGCCAATTTTTCCGTCATTTTTTTTTAACTCTCGTTTCCGATTTTTTTCCGTCTCCCTCCTCATTTTGGGGGCCTCTTTTAGCTCTTCCATTTGTCAATCGCTTAGGATATCTAGCGTCCAGAACCTTGATTCCGCCTTACCAAGAAAAAACACCGTAAACCTCGGCCTGACCCGCGAGAAGACCCTGTCCCGAATACCTCTCAGCGGGGCCCACTGTGCCCCGCAGTGGAGGCCTCGCGGGGCTCAGGACCCGAAAATAAAATTGATAAAGACTCAATTACGGTTACCTGAGAACGGGCGCCGGGAACACAAAACTCGTGTACCCAATTAAAGAAGAATGGGGCCCGGGTAAACGTAACGTAAGCTCCGCACTATTCACTCCGCGCCATTCAAAAACGCCGGGCGGCCGTGGCTAGGATTTCAATCGACTCACTCCTGAGCTCAAATATTTAGTCTCCTTTTCAACCCCCTCGCTACCCCCGCGGCTTACATGTGGGGCTCCCTCCCCTGGCGACGAATTTATGAGCCGAGTGCGGGAAATTTCTTCCGGTTTCGCTTCCGCGCCCTCGCGGATTGCCTCGCTAATACTGCCGTGCTCGCGAAGAACGCCGTAAGAGCCTTCAGAGGTTGTCATATTTCCTTCAATAAAAATGTAATTTACTGGAAAATTTTGAATATTTTTCGTTACAATTTTCAGACAATTTTAAATAAATTAAATCTAAAATATCTGAAAATTTCGAGGGAAAATATGCACAACTTTCCCCGGAAATACATGTTTTATCCGGGAATAGTTGGCAACTCTCGAATGTTCATAAGGCGTTCTTCCTCAGCAAGGTAAAATACTACCCTGTTAAGGTAAAACGCCGTATGAGCCTTCGGGCGTTACGAATTTCGTTCAGTGACGCATTTATTTTTGAAGAGATCATCGAGAATACATTCCTTTCAAATTTTTAGGAGGTTTAGATTGAATTGCTAATGAAATCGTTGCGAGCATTTGAAGAGAATTACAAGTTTGCGTAGAAAAGTTGTATATTCTAAGAGGAAATTTGTTGTATTTCCTTTTAAGAGGTCAAAAATCTCTTGCGGCGTTACTCATGGCACTTTTGAAGTGCTACTGAATGCGGTGGCAGTGACGGCGATTTAAAAATCAGCAAGAGGCGGAATATCCGATGACCTCACTAATTCTACAATGGCGAAACAAAAAGTTGTTAAGAACGTGAGAACGTTGCAAAGTTTTCTTCGTTAAAATATTTATTTTTGAAGAAAGTTGTGAATATTTTTCTTTAAAAATACCTCATGCTCGGTTGTGAATATACATCTCTGAAGAATTGGAAGAAAAATAAGTACAAGTTTTTAAAAAAAATTCGTGTTACATCGGAAGAAATTGTTTGACAAATTCGAATGTTCGCATGACGTTTTTCTGAAACTAAGCAGAACAGCAGTGCGTGAATCGCAATGTATCGATTGTTCTGCCATTTAAACGTACGGTAAAGAATCGATTATTAAGGTATTCGCTGCGAACACCCTTTTTATCGATCCTTTTCCACAGGTTTAAATGGCATAACAGTCGATAT